ATGTGTCACAAGCCTTTGGAGGATCTTCTGCAGAGCACAGCGCAGCTAGGCTCACACAGATTGCTGCAATGGGAAGGAGCTGTAGGAACTTTCCCTGCTGGTACTTTCCAGCTGTAAGGTAGAGGGGACTGCAGGCTTATGGCCTGCTAGAAAAGGACAACATTTAACAGAGCAGGAAAGAAAAGGAAGCAAAATCAAGCAGAATTGCTTATTGCTCTCTCCTAGGAACCCTGCTCACTGCTTTGCAGATTGCCTCTCCTTCACCGCTGCCAATTTCCACAGATGAATTTGGACCATGAGCTTTTCCTTCCTCGCAACAGTGTGATGTTTAATACAGAAAGAAACAGTTAAAAAGAATCCTTTTAAATTCGCTGCTGTTGAAGCAACTGCCTCCCTTTGATCAAAAAATACAAAGCGTTTTGCCCCAACCTGCTGCTGAACTGGTGGCAGTCACGGTAACACCATCCTCTGCAAACAGCGAGAAGGCAGGATTGCCCAGTTTGCCTCGGGCTGCAATTTAGTGAAAGTTCTGCAAAACTATTTAATGTCAAGTCCTCACTCAACTCATTTGGCACTACGGCAACACCATACAGCAGTTCTTTTTCTTCCAAAATTGACAGCTAGAATCTGTCTTTAGATGAGAACTCATTTTCATGGCACTTGATATTCATACCCAAGATACAGCACAGTGCTGCACCTCCATTTTGAAAAGCAAATAAAGACCAGGCACAGAACTATTTTGGCACTGATGTTTTGTCAAAGCTACAGAACCTTTGATTCCTAGAGTTCTCATGTCTTAAGCTGAACAAGATTTCCCCATATGGGAACAGCCCCAACAACCACACGCTCTTCAACATTTAAAGAGGAACCTAAGTGAAACACAACTCGGCAGAACGCAAATGGATCCTAAGAATGAGAAAACAAAGGTCTGAAGACCATTTGCTTTCAGTTAGTTCAGAAGCAACCAGGGTCAGGGCTGCCTGGACGCAGGCTCTGCTGTTCTGCCCACTCTGTTTCAGATCCCATCACTCCATCTCTTTTCGTTGGGCTCCTTTCAAGGAGATGGAGGACGGCATTCTTCCTGCCATATCTGCTGCTAGGAAGGGGCCCTGATACCTCACACTCATTAAAACCGCCCATCCACCCTGTCCAAACTCCACCATTTTATTTTTTAGAGGAAAATTTGGAGTAAGGCAGGCAGGTTTCAGTCTACCAAGGACATACATTAACAAACTGATTCTTGTATGATTATAATTCTTTAATTCATAAACAAAGTGATTTACATCCCCTGCCACCAACTTGGCATGGAATTTGGATCCTTCCCTGTTACGAAATACATTTTTGCTTTCCTCAGGTGGATGCAGATGCCCCAAAGCAGGGCTAAGTGGGAAGACCAGTGTGTGCGTTATCTCAAAGAGCCAGACAGAACGATCCTGCTCCTCCCACCTACCTGACGCTGCTGCCCCTTGGTCCCCAAGCCCACTTCCTCCAGCTCCAAACAAACCTGCATATTCCATTTAACTCAGACTTCCCTGCAGTAAATGCCACATTTGTTGCCACAGTTTGCTGATAAAAAGCCACTCACATGCAGGGTGTGAAGGGCACGATGACTGCTGTAATGTTGCAAGTAAAACCCTGCGGCATTCAGCAAACACTTGAGAAGACTGAGAGAACAGCTGTGCTGGTCTCACCACAGATCACCCAAAGGAACCAAAGCAGTACCAAGATCTTCCCCTCCAAGGACGCTACTACTAGGAGGAATAAGAAATGCCAGCCAGCATGCCGCAGAACTTAAGGTAACTTACAGAAAGGAAACTGAGATAGCAAACAAATGGGTGATTTGTACAGAAAGCTGCTAAAGAACTTGTAGCTCTCTCTACCAACTCAGTGCCTTCACTCTGAGGCCCACATTTATCTTCAATGACTTCACTGACAACAGGTTAGCCTAGATCTAGCAAAGTCAGCAAGAACCAGGCAGCCAGAGTTCTTTTCAATTACAGTTACTGGCCACAATCAGCAACATCCCATTCTAATCAGAAATAGTAACTGGCTCAGAAGGGAGAGTTAGCAGTTGGACTGTTTTTGGTTTTCTGCACGTAAACGCCAGATGGCACGGACTGAAGTTAGGGGGCATGGTGAAATCCATCATGTGAACATCCTGGCAGCCTGGTGCAGTGCCTTCATCCTTACCTAAGCTCTTACTTCCAGTGGGAATGTCATGTTTTGGTCAGCACTGAACATGGACAAAAGACGACTGTATTTCAGCTTTAACAGCCTGGCACCTACCTGACAGCTCAAGAAATACCTACTCGATCAGAACATTTATTTGGCAAGCCTGAATTTTTTTCACCTATGGGCAAAGAATAAAGGAAGTGGGAGCACAGGGAGGAGCAGACATTTTTCAACTCCAGGTGCTGCCCAGCAAGACCCCACATACCTGTCACGGAGCGTGTTGGGACCCAAGTAGGGGTACTGGCTGTCCTTCAGTTTTCCTTTGATGAGCTGATCCAGTGTTTCTTGAAGGAGAGGCTGGTGTTGTGCGTACACATTCTCAACACCCTACAGTGCAAAAGAAGCTCCCATTATGAATAAATACAGCAAGGCAGCATGCTGAAAGAAAGCTGATCAGCAAAGCCACACTCAAAGAGCCCCAGCATCTGATGGATATAGCAACTATTAACCACTGAGTCAAGACTCAGAGGGGCTTTTCAGCAACCAACTTCCATTGCCTAAAATGAGAATTACACCTCAAACGTTCAGTGCACTTACTATTAGACCTCTAAAAAGCTACTGAACTCTGTGTCATAGTCTTATCGCTCTTTGCATCGGTATTCTACATCCACAGCACCATGCCAGGGTGGGAGCTGAGGAGTTCATGGGGCAGGTCCGTGTTCTGAAGAGAAGAATGAACTACAGCTTCCATGGGCCAGGAAAAGACTCAGCACCAGAAGACTTCATTTTGTTATTTTCTGTCTTCCGGCAGGAGGGAAAAGTCAAAAGAATGGAGAGGTTACGCGATCTCTGCCTCTTTCCAGCTCCCTGGTGGCCGATGCAACATCAGAGACTCAGTACCAAAAACTCTCTTCCATTCATTTGATTTATTAGCTTCAATTCCAATTAGTTCGCATTTCATCAAGGTTTCTTCCTTAAATCACTGCCGCTGGGTTTTTTTGTTCCTCTTTTATCTGGGCCCACCCCCCCCCCCACCCTTCTGGCCACTGAGCCACGTAGGCCCCTGTGAAGGAGACAGACCCAGGCCTAGAACATGAACACCTCTGAAAGCCAGAACGCACGGCTAAGAATCCTGCCCCATTACTGGAGCTTTGACTAAAGCTGTCAGTATTTCATCTATGGCAGACCCATACCTTCAGTCCTTTGAGGAACTGTTTTGTGATGGCTACAGCATCCTTGGGACTGAACAGGTCGCTGCCCCGGACCCGTTTCCCTCCATATTCCGCAACAGCAGAGACCAGCTGTACAGAGAAAGGCAAAACCAGAGTGCTGTTAACCTGGGAAACAAAATTTCACACAGCTGTCCTATCAGGTTCAGTGGAGGTACTGGAACAATGACCAAGAAGTCAGAGAGAGGAAAGAAGGAAGAGAAGTGTTCTCTGAACACAAGAAGCCACGGCACTGCCTGCATAAGGAGAAATGCTTTCATTCCCACAGTCCTATGCAGTGACAGCAGATCAGAAGATGAAGATACAGTGACATTATCCTGCCCCTCCACCTCCCCTCCAGCTGCTCACTACATTTGTCAAGCTCTGCCACCCTTTCCCTCCCAGCCAAGCCCCCCCTTACTGTTTTGGTTAAGTCTCTTGCTACAGCTATTGCCTATTCAGCAGGAGGTGGAAAAGAAGGAGAAAGGAAAAGTGCATGCCATACACCAGGTCTAGACTCCTGCCAAACACACCATCTCTGCTTTGTACAATCCTTCATGATATCACTGATTTTGGAAATGGACACTAAGTAATTAGCGATGCCTTTAACATCTTCAGGCCCCAGCCAAGCTCCGTGCTCTTACTGAGAAGTGTGGTGCAATTCAACAGAAAAAAAGTATTATGCTACGTTAAGGCAAGCAACAGGCATCCTCCAGCAACTAAGAACAATCCGACACCTGTGTCTACCTGTGTCTGCCCCGCTCATTCATCCAGCAGGAGAAATACTGCATTACCTTTCGGTATCTCTCAGAAACACCCCTATTCTTGAGATCTGCCATCAGCCCTGGCAGGCTGTTGCTGCTGTGCCGCTCGTAGTGCAGGGCATAGAGCATCACCAGCCGGGCAGCATCGAGCTCAGTCACCTTGGGGTTCTGCAGGAGGCGCCGCACATTCTGCAACAAGATACCAAGTGGGATCAGTGGAGAGGCCTTCAGAGCACATTAAATCAGATAACATCAAGCCCATTGCTTAGTAACAAAATTGCAAGCAGGGGGAACGCGAGGGAATTAAACGACCATAAGTAACAGACCTGAGCTTCTTATATGCTCTTTGTTTAGATTTACTGCAGTATAATGGACTGCAAGTTGTTTTCATGACTGGAATCCCCTGTAATTCTCTGTAACTCTCATAATGAGCCTCACAGTGAGCCCAGCTCAGTGCACTCCTCCCAAATGGGGTATCGCAGAAGCTTGCGGAAACCTTTAATCTTTGCCCTTTCCTTTTCCAACCTGAATACAGCAAAAGCTGGCCCACAGGTTCCATCGTAATATCAACCATCAAGGAAAAAGTGCTAGCAGAGCTACAGTTTGTTTTGTTGTGGAAGGTGTGGGAATGAAGCATCGAAGTCTCAGACAATCTCTGGATACGAGAAGTGTGGGGCTGGGGGGAAGCAAACAAAGCACTTTGAAACAAACAAAGAATTAAAGCACGGAAAGGCAAAGAAAGATTACTGGAGAAATAAATACAGAAATCCACAGTTATTTACTTCTAACATGCAGATTATTCGTTTTTCTGCTGAACAGAACATGGCAGCATTGTAAACACAAGGACTGCACATCCCAGAGGCCACCAGCTAACGCATTTCCAGAACAGACTCAGAAGCCCTGAGGCATGCCATGTTCCCTGAAGGGACTGCGGGCAGGACGTTATTCTATCTTGTCAGCTGACAATTTGCCCTGTAAGTGCTACTCCTTGTCATCACAACAGAAGCACTTATTTCCTCTCTGCAGCTCCTCAGTCACTGCGCAGAGCCGTACAGTTGAGATGCTGAAGTTAACAGAGGAAAAAACACCAGAGCCAAGTTGGTAGCTTAGGAGAGCAGTGGGAGCAACAGGCTCCTTAACGCCAAGCCTGGAGACGGATCTCAAGGAAGAGGCAGCACTGCTGTCTGCACCTGCAGGTTAAGGACCGGATTGCACTTCAGGGCACAACAAAGTCTGCAGTCCTCCCTGTGCTTAAAGCAAAACATCAGCCTGTATTGACTCAAGTGTAAGAGAGCAGCAGAGCTTCCAGTCGTACAGCGATTGAAACGGCACTTCCAAGACAGGGACAGAACCAGCAAGGAGGATTTTTTCCATGCTACAGCAGAACATGACCTTCAAACACTCCAAAAATCCCAGCACATCTTGGCAACATTCTCCCAGCCTCCCAGAACAGAGAGGCAGCAGGGAAATATTCAGTGAACAGCTGTGAAACAATACTGTAACAGTTGTTACCGACCGAACTGATTCAGCTGTGTTTGTTGCCATCCGTTCCACTGATGCAGACCAGTTACAAAAACATGGGGTAAAATCCTGGCTGCTCGCTGTTCACTGAAGCTAACGAAGAAACTCTTCTTGCGGTCAGGGATTCACCTGCCAGGGTGAGGGCAGAGTCCCACAGCGATGCCTGCTTGCCACGTTCTGGATCCTGTGCTGGCAGCACAGTGGCAATGCCTCTATAAGCGGGAAACTTGTAAACAGAAAAGCTATTGTCCATCTAAGGAGATGGGATTCAAAACCTCCCATCCATCTCTCAAGGCTCATGTACAATGTCAGGATTAATAAGAGACCAGGAAAAGAATAACCAAAACGTACTGTTCTCAGGGGCCCCAGGCCACCACAGAAATTAACAATTGCTGAAGTTACATCAGTGGGAGAACAATTCTGCCTTTATTTTGTGCACTGGTTATTCTTCATTGTGTCTGTGGCCTTGCCCCTTCGCTGCCATTAAGAGACTGCAGCAGGGAACAGCCTGGGGCACTGCAACTAAAGAGATACTGATCTCTCATATAGAAAGATACCACTTCCATTTTTGCATTTTGCATTTATTCTCTAGCTGCTATTTGGTTTTCAGTCCCTCTCAGTTGATAGAAACACAACACAGCCCTTTAGGCATGTGGCTGTAAAGAAATGCAGGCAGCCTATGTGCCATAAAAACTGCAAAACACCACTCAGTGCAGACCTGAATTAGGTGAGCCTAGCTAACAACCTTACCACCACTGCATGCCACTCAGTGGGGGCTGCCCTCCCTCCATCTCAATCCAGCTTCCAGCACTGCCATGTATTCCTCTAACCCCAAAGCTGTAACGTGCAATTGCTCCACCTCCAGAAGTTCATGTCAGCCCTTCCTCCAGTGAATCTGAGGTAACCGACTACAATAAAAACCAACATTTTTTCAAAATGGACCCCAATGCCAAGCACCCAGGTTTCAGCACTCAAACTCTGTGCTGCAAACTCTTCAGCAGAGCATCTGCTTGTAACATCAGAAACAAAGATCACAGACAGACACGGCGTCCTGATAGACTAGAAGTCAAACATTTGTCTTTTAACCTGCACAAGAAACCTAGAAACCATGACATAGCAAGAGAGCATGGGGGGTTGTGCTCAGCAAATGCATTTTATGGTTACAATCCCACTTCAATACTTGGTCAACACAATTCTACCAAATATAAGCTATCAAGTCCCATCTATCTGCTGGTAGATCCATAGAGCTGTGATGATTTCAGCACGTCTATGCTGATTTACATCAGCTCAGGATCTGGCAATAGACAGCAGTGCTCAAAGAGCTGATGTTATCACTTAGCCACCCACCTGGACAACAGAGTAACAGAGGTCAAGAAAACATGTCTGTCAAATCTGTTCAAAATTCTTTTTATTTTCTAATCAAAGTGTGAATGAGTCCATTATATGCTGTAACTTCTATCCCAGCTATAAAAAAATAAATGACTCGCTTTCTAATACTGAGTCAGTGGTTGAACTCTGCTATAATACAGTCACTCTTAACAATACTGCTATTTTCTCTGAATAGGCAGCAGCCACAATTCATCATTATTGACATACTGTCAGATATTCGGTCAGGTCACGGAATCCAACAAGGCAGCACAGGGTCAAAACTTCCGTCTAAACTCAGCTACAACAGAAGTCTCTCGTAGGCTTTTTCAGTCCTCTCTGCCAAAGAAATCTTTTATCTAAAAGGCTTTTCACTGTCTTACACTGTTTTTTAGAAAAGAAGTAAAAGTCATCATCCCAAGGAATGGTCTGGTTTAGTTATGGATTCCATTTCTTCTCCTTCCCAACAAATACAAGAAGCTCCTGCATAGGGGTCCAAGTTTTGTTTTACTGGTGCCTGTCCAGGCAGCTTGCCAGGTCCCAACCAGCCACCTACAATGAAGGAATGCTGTGCTGTGAAACGTAGACAGACTCTGCAAAGATGCTTCTCAAGCCAGTTATTAATTCTGATTCATCCCCATCGGAACTGAACAGGTAGGAGAAGAGTAATCCTTACGTCCCTACCCTGCAGGACATCTGCACGCAAAACTCCCACTGATTTTCAGCATCAAACTTCCATCAGCAGGAGGCTGCCAGGAGCAAAACATCTGAATTCAAAGGACCGCAGCCAGGTTCCGAGCCCGAAGTACCTGGAGGGCGCTGGAATGGTCGCTGTGACAGGCCAGCTCCTGCTCCACCTCAGACACCTCCAGCAGGTTGCGCTCACCAACCAGTCGCGAGAGCTCTCCTACCACCGTCACGTGCTTTGACACCGTGCCTGACATCTTCTTGAACTGAGGGTAGTTCTCCACGAATGCCTGCGAGGGGGAAACCAGAGCGACACCTTCTTCAGAATAAAAGCAGCAGACAAGAGTGGTGCACGCAATTTGTCACTGGGTTGTACAGATCCACTAATAAGCAAGACCGCTGCAGGTGCACGGATGGTCAGGCACCTCAAATCCAGAAAAAGACTGAAAGATTTCTCCAGATACAAGGAGATTTTTGGCTGTGCTTTTTGTTTACACCCAAAATAAAAGAACACATCAAGTAACTCCAGAGACACTGCCAGGATTCTTTAAATCGTCAGCAGCGACTGAATTAACAGACCCTGCTGTGGGCAGCTGCCAAGTGACCCAGCTCAGACAGGAAGTCTATACAGCCACACTGGGTTACGCCAAGTACCTGAACTAGAGCTTATCAACTCAGCTGGGGGGATTCTGGCTGGCTTCCAGCAGGCTCTAAAAGCAGCTCAGGGAGCAGACAGAGCAAGCAGGCTGTGCTGCAGCGGTGCAGAAAGGCCAACCCCAGGGTCTGGATCCCAGTAAAAAATACCGTGCTGAACACAGGACAGTGGTTCCTGCCCCACTGATCACTCACTGCAGAGGTCTGAACTGAATGCAGACTGCCAGCGTGCAGTCAGCAGTGACCTGCACTACCTGCCAAGTCCTGTCTGTACCTTCATATCTGCTATGGATTCCAGCTTCTGCTGCTCCTTAGGTTTCCTCTTCTGGAAATCCTCCATAAGATTCTTGATGTTGCTGCCAATCTCTGCAAAGTTCAGGTACATGTTCTGCATGGAACAAGGAGGGCAGCTGAGAGAAAACCATCTGAACACGAGTTCTAATACAGCTAAGACACAGAGACACTCTGAACCCAAAACACTTCAGTACCACTGCAGATCACCTCATCTATTTGACACTCACACTTGACCAAACAGCTTTGTGATTGGTCCAGATTTTATTTACAACTATCACAAAACCGTGTTATTACACATCAGATACTGCCTGCACGACACAGTGACTTTCACCCTACATAAACTTTCCTCCCCTTAACATTCAAAGTCACTGAAGGACCGAAAGGTTCCAAGAACGGAACCTGACTCCAGCATTCAGCTACTCAGGGAGATCCCCACCATAAGACACAGCCACCTACGTTGGCCTAGAACTCGTCGTTCTCAGCAGACAGGACCACCTCTCGGAGATCCTTACTGATGCCCGGCACACGCGAGAGGTCAACGCGGTTGTTGTTGATGCCCAGCAATTCATGAACCATAGCCTGGTACGTCCACTGGCACATGGGGAGAGAGAAAGGCGAGCATTGGCTTCAGCACGGTACCACACTGCGCTGGAAAAGATTTCAGGCTGCTCAAGGTCATTTCCCATTCCTCCAGTAACAGCGCGGACTCAGAGGGTCTCCTCCTCAAACTTCTGTCAGAACATTACAGTCAGAAATAAATGCTGTTCCTATCACAAAGGCATCTCAGTGTCAGAGGTGCTGACGCCAACACGTAGGAAAACCACCCCCATCCGAGGCTGCTTACCACAGGTACATTCAAAGGAAATGACTCTAAAAGCACAACAACTGGGATTCGTATTCCTGTTCCAGCAGCTCTATTTGCCACCATTAGCTCCCCCTTCTCCTGTGAATGAACATTTATTTTTGGCTGCAGAGGTTCCACAGTTACAAACTATAACTTCCTACACACTCCTGTGCTTCTTACACAGCAATTGGAGAGTTCCTGTACATCAGTGAGCTACTATATTTATTCTGGGAAGACTCATTTCAATTTAGAGAGAAAACTGAAGGCTGATCAGAGTGCTGGCATGCCTGACGCTGCATTTACATTCATTTGACTCTCTCTTCCGGACAGAAAATCTCCACACAGCAGACAACACTTTTGGTACCCTGTGCTGAGTGCTGTCCTTAACTCTACAAGCCACATGTGAGCTTGGCTGCTGACTATCAGATTGCTCCAGTGCACAAGGATCGCCACCAGCTCCCACACAGCGCTGCCTGCAGCGGGGGTAACCCAGAGTGACTTGAGATCTGAGCATATCCCACAGAAAGGAGAGAAGATGCCAGGTCTGCAGCACAGCGACAACGCAGCAAAGAAACAAACCACAGAAAAATGCTGCCACCCATCAACAACAAAGAACGAGAAATACGCCCGGACAAGGTCACTCTGTAAACATGGCCACGTACTACCAAGCAGCCTGCACAGACACACCATTTAACACAACACTGCTGAGACACCAGGACTCTAAATGCAAAGTGTACTTGATCTGATCTTTGGCCACCTCTGCCTCTGAAGCCAACACGTACAATCCACGCTCAACAGTCTGAAAATTGAGCCACAAGATAAAAGAAAGATTGCAAAAGAACGGGGGCAATACTTTTTACCCCTGAATACAAACCACACCGTCAGGCTGTGAGCTACTGCCACGAGGCTCTGCGCACTGCCAGCACTCACTGCTACCCCTCGGACAGCTGAGGTGATTCACCTGGTTCAGCAGGGGGGTGATGGCATCGTCTGAGCGGTCCAGAATAAGGAGCAAAGGAGGAACCTCAGTGCGACGGAAGTCAAACAGCTCATACTCTTTAGTGATTACTTGCTGTTGAGAAACATACAAAAAAAACCCACTTGGTTATAAGTATACCTGGAAAAAGTTCCCCCTCGCTTTTGTAACGGATGAATAAAAAGTGAAAAGCTGGAGAAAAACAAGCTGCACTGCAATCTCAGTCTACACTGCTATTGAGAAAACAGCTCCTGCTTTCAAAAGGCATCAGTAACACACTGCAGTTAATGGGACTTGTGAGAAATAAGGGCCTTCGCTTCTCGCATAGGTTGGGGGAGGCAGAAACAAGGGGATGCGACCTGCCGAAAGCCACGTAACATAGAAATGGAAGGACTGACAAGAACTGGCTAAAGAACATTATGGAAAAAACGTTCAACAAAAATTAAGCAAAGTTGCCAAACTCACTTAACACTGCTCACCGCACCTTCACACATTCAGCAAGCCTCTTTGCTGGCTCAGAAGAGAGTTGGTATCGAATCATGGGGCATTTCTTCAGGGACAGAAGCAGAGCAGTCAGCCCTTGAGTTGTCCTGGACAGCTGGGCTGGATCCCAGTTGCGACCCTAGAAGGAAAGGTTGCTTGAGAGATGGACGTGCCATCCCCAGCCCTTTGTCCCATGAAGCTGCATTTCCCTCCAAGCAGACTACATGTTGACTACAGGAGCAGGTACACCAAAGGCCACAGTCCAGACTGTAATTCCTGCTAACAACCAGCCACCCTTTGGGGCTGGACACGGCATTCTGCCTGCTGGGCAACCACTGCCACTGCACCCACTTGGCTGTGGCTACTGGGCTCTCTGTCACCACAAAACAAGGCCCCGGAGCCCTGCAGGACAGTTAGCTTTTTGCATACCTGGCAGCAGCCCAAGAGGTTGAGAGAAAAAACGTGTGGATTCACTGCAATGTAATCTCCATAGAACTCCTGCCAACAAGTGAAAGCAAATACAGTTAATGCCCTGCCCAGCCCTGTTCAGCCCACAAGAGCATGTGTATTGGCAACGGTAAAACCCTAAGCGCTGCACTCACTGACTCTGATCACTTCTCCTTCCTCCATGCCTACATACTCACAATCTTTACACTTCTGCTGACAACTCCACTGCCACTTCCTGTTGTACTTTTCACGTAGATAGCTCTTTGTTGATGCCAACAAACACGCAGCAGCCTTGTGAAATGATGCCAGCAGCACCAGCAGCAGCTCCAGCAACTGGAGGGCAGAGAGAAATGGAACACACGGGTTTTCCGCAGTGTTGTTGCTCACTGTTCAAGACCTCCAGAGTCCTCCTTTTGAGACATGCATGTTTGCTAGCGTGTGTATCCATCTCCTAATGCCCTTGGATTAAGAAATCTACTTAAAAGATTCAAAATTCACCTGAATTTCTGCCACAACTTCCTGTTCATCAGCCTCAGCTAATGCCTTGATATCACTCTTACTGATCACATTACTGAAATCTGAAAGAAAACAACAGAGAAAGAGCAGTTGGGCTCCGTGAGTGACACAGAACACAAGAACACCACAGCACAGCATGACCCGATTCTCCCCTGGAGCAGGAGTGGACTGCAACACAATTTGCCTTCACACCCATAATTACTGTGCAGGTAGTCTCTCTTGCCTCTCCCTGCTCAGCATCTGCTCAATTAGGTAACGCCATACACGGCTGTAATTAGTAGATTTACAAAGCTAAAAGATAAGCACTATTAACTAGTTTAACACTGTGGCCAGCTTACTGCAAGCTGGAGCTTCTCAGCATCGCCGTGTCAGCAGGTCACCACCACCCGCCCCTGCAACCCGGAGCTGCTCCTCCAGCACTGCGGGCCCACAGGGACACCTGGAGGCCACTGCGGATCACTGCCCAGAACCTGGCGCGCACGACGGCTGCACCTCAGCAGAAAGGCCGCTGTAGTTACATTTCCATTTCCAAACCTACCGAATATTCGACAGCACGAACAGAACGCGTGAGGAACTCCTGCCTCATCCACCAGGGTTACAAGACGCTGCGCTCTGGGTTTGGCCCAACAAGTTAACACTGTCTCTGAATGATTTACCTTCCAGACTTGGGCCAGTGTCTCATCTCTGTTTCCACTGTAATAAAGGCACTCTAAAGCCAGCTTCTTTCATGTTTACGAAGCACCGCGAGGCTTCAAAATCCCTGAAGTTTTCAGGAATAGCCATAGCAGGGTAATATGGGTTATGGCATTGCTTTATGAAGATTCTTATCAGTTGTTTCAGTTTAACTATTTTATTTTATATGCATGTAACTTTTTCTAAAACAATTTCATAGAATGGCTTCAGTTGGAAGAGATCTCAGAGATCACAGAGCTCAAATCCCTCTGCCATGGGCTGGATGCCCCCCCTCCCCACGTCAGGCTGCCCAGGGCCCCATGCAGCACAACTTTAGGCACCTCCAGGGATGGGGCACCCACACATTGGGCTGCACATTGGGCAGCAGTGTCACGGCCTCATCACACCCTCACTGAAAACATGTCAGCCTAAATCTCCCCTCTCATTTTAAAGTGCTCCCCTTTATCCAATCACTGTCTGAGGAAAAAGCTGATTTTTCTTATAACCGCCATTTAAGTACTGGAAGGCTGCTCTCAGGTCTCCCTGGAGCCTTCTCTCCTCCAGGCTGACACCCCCAGCTCCCTCAGCCTTTCTTTGCAGGACAGGTGCTCCAGCCCTTTGACAATCTTCATGGCCTCCTTGAACCCTCTCCAACAGCTGTTTTTCTTGTGCTGGGGCCCAGCCCTGGACGCACTAATCCAAATGGGGCCTCACAAGGGCAGAGCAGAGGGGGAAAATCCCTCCCTGCCCCACTGCCACCCTTTTGCTGGTGCAGCCCAGGATGCAGTTGGCCTGGTAGGCTGTGAGCGTTTCCTGCTGACTCATCTCCAGCTTCTCATCCATCAGGACTCTCAAATCCTTCTCTGCAGGACAGCTCTTAAGGAGTTCTTCTCCCAGTCTGTACTCGTATCTGGGATTGCCCCGACCCAACACTGCCTTCAGCCCTGTTGAACCTCACTGAGTTTATACGTGGGCCCATTCCTCAGCCTGCCCAGCTCCCTTTGGACACCATCCCTTCCTTCTGCTGTGCCAACTGCACCGCTCCACTCTGCAGAGAGGGACCTGGGTGTCCTGGTGGACGACAGGTCGGCCATGAGCCAGCAGTGCGCCCTTGTGGCCAAGAGGGCCAATGGCATCCTGGGGTGCATTGCAAAGAGCGTGGCCAGCAGGTCGAGGGAGGCGATCCTCCCCCTCTGCTCTGCCCTGGTAAGGCCTCATCTGGAGCACTGCGTCCAGTTCTGGGCTCTGTACGAAAAAAGACAGGGATCTCTTGGAAAGAGTCCAGGAGAAGGCCACAAAACGCTGAAGGGCCTGGAGCATCTCCCCTATGGAGAAAGGCTGAGTGAACTGGGTCTGTGTAGCCTTGAGAAAAGATGACTGAGAGGGGACCTGATCCAGGTCTATAAATATCTAAGGTGTGGGGGGCAGAGCGGCGAGGGCGGACTGTTTTCAGCAGTGTGTGGACACAGGACAAGAGGGAATGGCCAGAAACTGCAGCACAGGAAGTTCCACACAAATGTACGCAAGAACTTCTTTAGGTGAGGTGACGGAGCACTGGAACAGCTGCCCAGGGAGGTGGTGGAGTCTCCTTCTCTGCAGATGTTCCAGACCCACCTGCACATCGACCTGTGCGACCTGCTGCAGGAACTGCTTTGGCAGGGGGTTGGACTCCGTGATCTCTGCAGGTCCCTTCCAACCCCTATCATTCTGTGATTCTGTGATCCACTCAGTGCCATCAGCCACTGCTGAGGGTGCACTTGGTCCCACCGTCTGCACCACCGATAAATACATTAAAGGGTAAACTTAGATCTGGCGATCTAAACAATGTAAAACCTGCCATTCAGCCATTTTCAGAATCTCAGCGGCACTCTGCCCGCGGGGGAGGCCAGCGCCTCCCATCGGCGCCTCACTGAACGTCGGGAGCTCCGAACAGCACGTACTTACAGATACAATAGATGCTGTACTTCGGCCTCCGCAGCTCCTGAATGAGGCAGTGCACGTTCTCCTGAAGGAACACACAGCCACAGAGCGGCGATCAGAGGCGCTCAGCCCCACCGTCTCCCCGCGGGGAGGGCTCTCACCTTGGTGGGCCGCAGGAAGCAGACGGCCTTCAGGTGCTTCATGGGCTCCCTGCCGGGGGAGTCGATGCGCTCGAAGAGGTAAACCTCCTTCTGCAGGATCTCGGACTGCGTGTACACCATGCTGACCGCGCCGGGCTGCGGGGAGAGCCGCGTCACCGCGCGCCGAACACCGGCCCCGCGCCCCGCCCGGCCCGGCCCCGCCGCTCACCGTCTCCCGGTCCATCAGGAGCACCTTCATGCCCGGCCCGCTGTCCTCGATCATTTTCGACACGTACTGCTTCACGGCGAGAACGGCGCTCATCTCCGCTGTGCGCCTCAGCCCCGCTCCGCTCCGCGCCGGGCCGCGCAGCCCTCCAGCAGCAGGGCATGGCGAGAGCGGCGCGGGGACGGACTACGGCTCCCGGCATGGCGCGCGGCGCCGCACTTCCGCTCCTGCGCGCCCCACGGCGCTGGACTACGGCTCCCGGCATGCCTCGCAGAGCGCTCCTATCTTTGCTCTCCGGGCGACGCGCAGCTCGCACGGAGGTTTTCAGGAAGGAGCCGTATGAGTGTGACACAGGTTGGTGGCGTTGCTTTCTAAACATCACAGAATCACAGCATGTAGGGGTCGGAAGGGACCTGTGGAGATCACAGAATCACAGAATGGCCGGGGTTGGAAGGGACTCCAGGATCACGAAGCTCCAACTCCCCGCCACACGCAGGGCCACCAACCTCCCCACGTTTCACAGCAGCCCAGGCTGCCCAGGGCCCCATCCAGCCTGGCCTCCAACACCTCCAGCGATGGACGGGGCATCGCAGCCTCTCTGGGCAGCTGTTCAGCCCCTCACCGCTCTCCCAGCACACAACTTCCCTGACCTCCAGCCTCCAGCTGCCCTCCCTCCGCTTCCAGCCGTTCCCTGCTCTCATCTCCCCTGCCCAAGAGCTGCCTCCCCTCCTGGCTGCAGGCTCCCTGCAGGCGCTGCAGGCTGCACTCAGCTCAGCCCCAGCTCCTCTTCTCCATGCTGAACGAGCCCAGCTCCCTCAGCCTGGTTTTGCAGGGAGATGCTGCAGCCCCTGCTCATCTCTGCGGCTCCTCTGGACCCTCTCCCACAGCTCCCTGTCTTTCTTGTCCTGGGGGCTCCAGCCCTGGACCCAGTGCTGTAGATGGGGCCTCATGAGAGCAGAGCAGAGAGGGACGATCACCTCCCTGTCCCTGCTGCCACCCCTCTGCTGATGGAGCCCAGGATCCCATTTGCTTTCCGAGCTGTTACCACACACTGCTGGCTCATGTTCAGCTTTTCATCCATCAGGACCCCCAGATCCTCTGCAGAGCTGCTCTCAAGTGCCACTCCTTCCAGCCTGAATGGATGCCTGGGATTCCCACCCACTGCTAGAGCAGGTTCCCTGTGGCAGGTTGCAGTCGGCTCTTGGCTGTCTCCGGGGGAGTAGACGCCGCGACATCTCTGGACAGGGTGTCCCAGGTCTCTGGCACTCTTGTGGTAAAGAAGTTCTTCCTTGCCTTTATATGGAATTTCCCATGCTGCAGTTTGTACCCATTGCCCCTTGTCCTGTCACCGCACACCTCTTTGAATCATAGAATCATAGAGTCCTTAGAGTTGGAGGGGATCTCTGAAGGCCATCCAGTCCAGCCCCCCACTGATGAATAGGAACACCACAGCTAGATCAGGTTGCCCAGGGCCTGGTGCAGCCTCGCTTGCAAGTCCCCAGGGACATCCACCACATCTCTGGACAGCCTGTTGCAGTGCCTCACCACCCTCACTGCAAAATACGTTTCTTTATATGTAACCTAAATCTACCCTCTGAGTTTGAAGCCATTTCCTCTTTTTCTGTCACTACAGACCCTGCTAAAGAGTTTGTCCCCTTCTTTCCTGTAGCTCCCCTTCAGATACTGAGGCTGCAATCTGGTCACCTCACGGCCTTCTCTCCAGGCTGCACAGCCCCAGCTCTATCAGCCCGTCCTCATAGGAGAAGTGTTCCGTCCCTGGGATCATTTCTGTGGCCCTCTGGACACATACCAAGAAGTCCATTTCTCTCCTGTACTGAGGACTCCACAGCTGGATGCAGTGCTTCAGGTGAGGCCTCACCAGTGCAGAGCAGAGGGGCAGGATCACCTTCCTCGCCCTGCTGGTCACACTTCTTTTAATGCAGCCCAGGATACAGCTGGCTTTCTGCACTGCGAGGGCATGTTGCTGGCTCATGTCCAGTTTGCCATCCACCAGCACCCCCAGGTCCTTTTCAGCAGGGCCGTGCTCAATCCTTTCAGCCCCCAGCTCATACCGGTAGTGGGAGCTGCCTCGAGCCAGGTGCAAGACCTTGCATTTGCATTTGTTGAACCTCATGAGGTTTACCCGGGCCCACTGCTCAAGCCTGCCTAGGTCCCTCTGAATGGTACCCACCCCTGTGGTGTGTTGACGACACCCCACAGCTTGGTGTCATCAGCACGCTTGCTGAGGGTGCACTTGATCCCACTGTCAATGTCCTCAATGCAGATATTGAAGAGTATCGGCCCCAGCACTGACCCCTGGGGAACAGCACTCGGCACCAGTCTCCATGCAGACACTGAGCCACTGAGCGCTGCTCTCTGGACTCGATCCTGTAGCTAGTTCTTCGTCCGCTGAACAATCCACCTATCAAATCCATATACTTCCTATCTGGGGAGAAAGATGTTGTGGGTTACTGTGTCAAAGGCCACACTAAAGTAAGAATAGATTATATCAGTGGCTCTTCCCTTTTCTGTTACTGCAGTGATGCCATCATAGAAGTTGGTCAAGCCACACCGATGCTTTGTCCTGGTGCAGCCACACTGATTCTCCTGCATCATCTTCATATCTTCCATGTGCCTTAGCATAGCTTCCAGGAGAATCTACTCTGTGGTCTTTCCCAGCACAGAGATGAGACTTGGTCTTGGTTGGTAGTTGCCAAGGTCATTCTTTCTACCCTTAGAAATGGCTGTGATCTTACCTTTTTTCCTGTAACTAGAGACTTCGCCCCATTGCCACAGCTTTTCAGACATCATTGTGAGGGGCTTGGCAGCTATCAGCCAGTTTCCTCAGGACTCTGGGATGTGTCTCAGTGGGAGACTTGTGGATGTTGAGGTTCCTCAGGTGGTCATGAATCTGATCTTTGCTTGCAGTGGGAGGAATGTTGCTTCTGCAATCCCCTCCCACCAAACCAAATGTCTGAGGGCTGTGTGGCAAGCACAGGACTGAAGTCCGCTGCCATCCACTTGATACCTATGCTTTAGATATTTTATAAACAGTCAAGCAGATTCCCTCTCAGCCTTCTCTTCTGCAGGCTGAACAGTCCCGAGATGCTCAGCCTTTCCTCATACAGGAGATGATCCCCATCTTTTTTGAACCGAGAAGCCCAGGACTGGACATGATATTCCAGATGTGGCCTCCCCAGGGCAGAGCAGAGGGGCAGAGACCCTCCCTGGACCTGCTGGCTCCCCACTTGTAATGTACTCCTGGATACCTTTAGTCTTCTTGACCATGAAGGCACATTGCTGACTCGTGGGCAACTTGTTGGCCACCAGGACACCCAGGTCCTTCTCAACAGACATCTTTTCCAGCAGCCTAGCCCCTAACCTGTGCTGATGCATGCAGGTATTCCTCCCAGGTGCAGGATCCTACACTTGCCCTCGTTGAACCTCCTGATGTTCCTCTCTGCCTGTCTGCTCTGTGCGGCTCTCACCAAACGGCAGCACAGCCTTCTGCTGTGTCAGTCACTCCTCCTATCGTCAGTAAACTTGCTGAGAGTGGACGCTGCCCCTTCACCCAGATCATTCATGAAGATGCTGAACAAGTCTGGACCCAGCACCACCCCCTGAGGGGCACCACTTGCTGTAGGCCTCCAATTGGACTCTTCACCGCTCTGAGCTCTATCTGTCCTCCAGTTCTCAGTTTACCTCACTCTATCCCACACTTCCTAAGCTTACCGACAAGGAAGTTATGGAAAACAGTGTTGAAAGCTTTGTCGACGGTTTTTGCCAAAACCTCATTTTAAGCAGCAAAACCACATTTTTGCTCGTATTCCTTTTACTGGTGACATACTTCCAGAAGCTTTACTTTTTATCCTTGACTTCTCCCACCGTATTTCATTCTAAGTGGGTGTCATGGTTCTATGTTTTTTGTTTTTGTTTTTTGTTTTTGGGTTCCAGTATTCCACATCAGAACATCATGCAGTGCACGGGGCATTGAAGTGTCACTGCCCCAATCCCAGGTACCGATCCCTGTACATTACAGCAATCACGGGATCTGGCCCTTCCAGGTGGGGCCGCTCTCTTGCTGCCTGGCAGTGGGTGCTGGAGGTGCTTTCCTGGCCGTTCCAAGCTTTTCAGGTTTGAATCGGTCCCGGGAACTCTCTCTCTCTCTCATCTTGTCTGATTTATTAATCTCAATTTCAATTAAATTGTATCTATTGTGTTATCTTGTATTCCAATATTATAGTAAAATAAATTTTCCTCCATAGATTGTTGCCGCTGCTCTTTTCTCCCTTCCTTCCTTCCCATTTTTTTGTGGGACTGGGGTGGGGGGGGAGGGCAGAGGCCTGTCGCCCCTGTCACGGACATGGATGGATCTGGTCAACTCTGTGACAGATTTTTGGCGCCCAGCGTGGGGCTCGAGCTGCTTTTTAGCTTTTAGAACGAATCTTTTTTTCTCTCTGCTCTCAGAGAGCTTCGTTAGGGAGCATTATCAGTAGTTCAAGTTTCTGTGCTGGAAAACCTGACCTTGAAAGATTAGGCGTACTGCCAGTGTTCTGGGATATTTGTAAACTTTGAGCACTACTTAGTCTGTGTAGTGCCTTTTTTTTCTTTTTTTTTCCCTCCTCTTGTTAGCTTCAATTCATTAACCCCTTTTTAGCAAGCACCAGCGATGAACCCACTCGTTATCGTGGGGGTGCTGGGTAAAGGATTAAAAGCAATGGTGTTACTCACAACCTACTGGCCAATAATCCATCTCACACGTGTTGTGGAATTGCATTCATATATAACTACCTAAGGGCACTGATGGAGACACCTATGTTTTACCTACTTGCAATGTGGTATGATTTGAACTTTGACATTTACATCCCGGAAGGAATGGCTAATTTCACAAACAATTACATCCCAAATGGAATAGGTGATTTTACAAACAACACGATGTTCAGACCAGTCTCAGGGTTTTCTTCTCGGTTTGTCAAACGTTTTACGAGTCTTGAATTAATACTCATGTTGTTGTTGTTGTTCGTGTCATCAATTCTCCTGAGTGTACTCCAACGCATTCATAATAAGGAGTCTTCCCCAAAACTAGAGAATGATGACTGGCAGGGAATATGGAGAGGTTTAAGAAAGGTCTTAGGAGCATGGGGACCCGCAGTGTCATGGGATTTTACTCTTGAACACCTGTGGGATCCTGAGAAACTAAGCCAGTATTTGAGTCAGGGACTATGCGGCTTACATAAATCTAAGGAGGTACAACTTATTTGGGGTTTGGCTTGTGCTTACCGTGCCCTATATAATACCATTCTGGAGAGAGAGAGTTTCCGAGCTGAGGTTCAAGCCAAAGGGGAAAATCCCCAAGTCAAATCTAATCAATCACAGGAGACACCAGTAACAATTCCAGTTGCTCCTGTGGAGGGCAAGAAGTGGAAACGAGTGTCTTCGCGTCTTGAACAAAAAAGAGAAGAAGAGGAGGAGGAGGTGGAGGAAGATCCAGGTGAGGGGCCCTCCTCAGAACCACCACCATCGTGAAAGGCAAAAGGGAAAACTAAGAGACGTGCAGAAGAGAGTGATGAAGAGGAAATCTCTATTACTACTCGCCGGCCTCTAAAGATGACTGAAATCCAAGGTTCAAGAAAGGAGTTCACACGGTGCTCGAATGAAACTCTTGTTTCCTGGTTGGTTCACTGTTGGGACAGTGGGGCCCATAGCTTGTCTCTGGATGGTAATGAAGCTCGCCAACTAGGCTCCATTGCCAGAGATCCAGCTATTGATAGAGGAATTAGTCGATGTTCGGATGAGGCTGCCTCCCTCTGGGAACGAGTGTTAATAGCTGTGAAGGAAAAGTATCCCTTCAAAAATGGCTTGAAGATTGCGATGAAAAAATGGGATACAGTTGAAAAGGGGATCCAGTATTTGAGGGAAATAGGCGTGATGGAAATGTTGTATGACCCTGACTTTGTTCCTAACCATCCACGCCAAGACCGCGACCCTGAAAAAGTGAGGACGACGCCTGAGATATGGCAGAAAATCGTGACAACAGCGCCGGACAAATATGCCTCTACACTGATGTCAGCGTGTGACAGATTCAACGAACAACAGAGAAGGCCCTTAGTTTATGAATTAATTGTTACGCTCCAAAACTATGAACAATTGCTGTCCCCAATTCATGCTGCCATTGCTGCTATATCAAAAATGACGGAGCAAGTGTCTCAACTGATTAACCGTGACAAACCTGTAGCAGTATCAGAGATGCGTGATGAAGATCAGGATAATCAAAAGAGTCTAATGAAAGAGATCAAGGAGATGAAGGAGATGATGCGAGCCCACCTAACTAAAGACAATGAACCTTCCTTCTCACGTGCACCATCAAAGATCTCAGCTGTTAGAAGCAAACGCTCTTCGGCTCAAGTAAGGGGTAATACACCGCGAATTGCTTTATGGTATTACCTACGTGACCATGGAGAAGACATGGGGAAGTGGCACGGTCAACCTACTCCTGTACTACGAGCCCGGGTGAAAGAATTACAAAGCAGATCAACCACCAGTGCAGTTGCCCCAGTTACCACAGGTAATGAATAGAGGGGCCCTGCCCTCAGTCAGGAGGGGGAAAGGGATAATAGAGTATATTGGACTGTGTGGATTCGATGGCCTGGCACATCAGAACCACTGAAATATAAGGCACTGGTGGACACTGGTGCACAGTGCACTCTGATGCCCTCGAGTCACCAAGGGACAGAATCAATCCATATTTCTGGAGTGACCGGGGGCTCTCAAGAATTGACTGTGTTGGAGGCTGAGATAAGCCTCACTGGTAAGGACTGGCAAAAACATCCTATTGTGACAGGCCCAGGGGCTCCATGTATACTAGGTATTGATTATCTCAGAAGGGGGCATTTCAAGGACCCTAAGGGGTATCGATGGGCCTTTGGAATAGCTGCTGTGGACACAGACAACATTAAGCAGCTGTCTGTTTTGCCTGGCCTATCAGAAGATCCGTCTGTTGTGGGGCTGCTGCGAGTAAAAGAGCAACAGGTACCGATTGCTACAAAAGTGGTGCACAGGCGTCAGTACCGCACCAACAGGGATTCTTTGCTCCCCATTCATAAGTTAATTTGTCAACTAGAGAGCCAGGGAGTGATCAGCAAAACTCACTCGCCTTTTAACAGCCCCATATGGCCAGTTCATAAAGCCAGTGGAGAATGGAGGCTGACGGTGGACTACCGTGGCCTGAATGAAGTCACACCCCCACTGAGTGCTGCTGTGCCTGATATGTTAGAACTCCAATATGAACTGGAGTCAAAAGCAGCCAAATGGTATGCCACCATTGACATTGCTAATGTCTTCTTTTCCATTCCTTTGGCCAAAGAATGTAAGCCACAGTTTGCTTTCACATGGAGGGGCATTCAGTATACCTGGAACCGTTTGCCCCAGGGGTGGAAACACAGCCCGACCATTTGCCATGGGTTGATCCAAACTGTATTGGAACAGGGCAGTGCTCCTGAGCACCTGCAGTACATTGATGACATCATTGTGTGGGGCGATACAGCAGAAGAAGTCTTTACAAAAGGAGAGCGAATGATCCAAATTCTTCTGAGTGCTGGTTTTGCTATTAAGCGAAGCAAAGTGAAAGGATCTGCCCAGGAGATTCAGTTCCTAGGTATAAAGTGGCAAGATGGCCGTCGTCACATCCCGACAGATGTGATCGACAAAATCACTGCTATGTCTCCACCCACTAGCAAAAGAGAGACACAATCTTTTCTGGGTGCAGTGGGCTTTTGGAGAATGCATGTTCCAAACTACAGCCTCGTTGTAAGCCCCCTTTATTATGTGATGCGAATGAGAAATGAGTTTACATGGGGCCCCGAGCAGCAGCAGGCTTTTGAACAGATTAAACAGGAGATAGCCTGTGCTGTGGCCCTAGGGCCAGTACAGACGGGACTGGGTATGAAGAACATCCTCTATACCGCTGCTGGAGAGAACGGTCCCACTTGGAGTTTGTGGCAAAGAGCCTCAGGAGAGACCCGAGGCCGACCCCTGGGATTCTGGAGTCGGGCGTACAGAGGGTCTGAAGAGCACTACACTGCAACTGAGAAGGAGATCTTAGCCGCTTATGAGGGGGTTCGGGCTGCTTCCGAAGTAGTCGGTACTGAAACACAGCTTCTTCTTGCACCTCGACTGCCAGTGCTGAACTGGATGTTTAAAGGAAAGGTTCCCTCCACCCATCATGCTACTGATGCCACTTGGAGTAAGTGGATTGCACTGATTACACAACGAGCACGGATGGGGAACCTCAGCCGTCCAGGAATCCTAGAGGTCATCATGGACTGGCCTGAAGGTAAAAAGTTTGGAACACCACCAGGAGAAGAGGTATCACGTGCTAAAGAAGCCCCACCATACAATGAACTACCAGAGAACGAAAAGAAATATGCCCTGTTCACAGATGGATCGTGTCGTATTGTGGGAAAGCATCGCAGATGGAAATCTGCTGTGTGGAGCCCCACACGACAAGTTGCAGAGGCCACTGAAGGGGAAGGAGAATCAAGCCAATTTGCAGAGGTAAAGGCTGTCCAACTGGCCTTAGATGTTGCTGAACGGGAGAGGTGGCCAATGCTCTATCTTTACACTGACTCATGGATGGTAGCAAATGCCTTATGGGGGTGGTTACAGCAGTGGGAGCAAAATAACTGGCAAAGAAGGGGTAACCCTATTTGGGCTGCTGAACTGTGGAAAGACATTGCTGCCCGAACAAAGAATATGGTTGTAAAGGTGCGCCATGTAGATGCTCATGTGCCCAAGAGTCGGGCTACTGAAGAACAGCAAAATAACCATCAGGTAGACCGAGCTGCCAGAATTGAGGTGGCTCAAATAGACCTGGACTGGCAGAACAAGGGTGAATTATTTCTGGCT